TAGGGGGTCTCAGGGGGAGTGCACAGGGGACAGGGCTATAGGAGGGTGTGGGACAGAGGGTAGGGGGTCTCAGGGGGAGTGCACAGGGGACAGGGCTATAGGAGGGTGTGGGACAGAGGGTAGGGGGTCTCAGGGGGAGTGCACAGGGGACAGGGCTATAGGAGGGTGTGGGACAGAGGGCAGGGAGTATCAGGTGTGAGTTGCGAGGGCAGGAGAAGCATCCGGAACATGTAGGCCCCAGATGGCCACAAGAGATGTTGGGTAGAGCTGAATGGTCCAGCGTGAGACATTGTTCTTGTAAACCAAGCGTGTTCTTCTCTCCATGTTAAGTCAGGGCCTGCCCCTGCCTGCAGGGGAACCTGAAAGTGGGTCATGGCTTCAAATATCGCGATCACCGCCGCGTTATTATGGCGGCCAGATTGGCTGAGATTGACCTAACTTTGCCGTTCCTGGCCTTTCTGTGTTGTGGTGATGACTGCTAGTAGCAGGGGTTAGTGCAGTTCATGATGTTAAACTGACTCTTTCCTGGGTGTGTTTTTGGCATTTTTCAGTACTGGTCTTGGTTGGACTCCATGATTTAGTAAACAATTTCTTGAAGGGTTTCCGTTCAGGGCAGATAAACATCATACTCACAGTGGCCTCCAGTAAATTACTCTGCACTTTTTCAGTGTGCCAATTAGTAAATGATTCAGTTTGAGTAATTAATGCAAAGTGATACTCTTTTACATAGGGTAAAGGCCATACATAAGACCCAGTGTGCCCTTTTTAAATATTTACGTGCTCCTCCTTCAGTGGTTTGTCAAAAGTCCTTAGCCTCCTATCTCATGTGTTTGTGTCGCGTTTTCTGATATTTTGGATGGCATATCTGTTTTATGATGTCTTGGTTGGACCGTAGACATACAGAGAGCACCTGTCATGTAATTGTGTCATGTAATTGTGTCATGTAATTGTGTCATGTAATTGGGGCCTGATGGTGTGTTCAAGTTAATCCATGTTGGCAGGAAACCAGTCTCCTCTTCTATCTTCTTTTTAGTTGATTTCACTTTAATTTCCCTTAGCAGTGTAAGTGTCGTGTGTGTCTGCTTTACTCCGCGTCAGTCTTCCTTTGTCTGTTTGCTTTCAGTAAGCGTCCTTTTTTACATTGTGCTTATCTTAACGATGATCTTTTTGTTGGCGCTGAAGCCTGGCACGTGTCCTGTGCTCCGCTTGAGGGCCAGTCGGGGACAGTCTGGGTCAGTACGAAAAAGGCCACTGGATGTGTTATGTATTAAAAAAAAAATTGCCAGCTCCCGTCCCAGGAAGGGCTCTGCCGTTCTGCCCTTTAGCAAGGTGCTTTACCTCAACTGTAACTTGTTTTGGAGCTATTAAGTACCAATTTTGTTTCAAGTGCTACATACTATAGCAGTAATATGCTACATGTTAAATGTGTGCAAATGTCTAAAGGGCAAAATAAATCAGCTTTTTTTTTTCCCCCCCATTTCATTACTCTGGGGGAGCGTTTGCTGGGATGTGGGTATGTTTTGCAGTGTTTTCCTGCAGCACCCTCTTTTTTTTCCACCCCTAGAGGGAGCCTGAGAGAGAGGAGCAGACTGAAGAAAACATGCCTCCCAAATTCAAGCGGCACCTCAACGACGATGAAGTCACAGGCTCCGTGCGCAGTGAGAGGGTGAGCCGGGTGTGGAACGTGTTTCTGGTGGGGGGGGGGGGGTGTTAGTCAGATGCAATTTGGCACGTCGTTACTGATCCAAGCTTAAGACACGTGTGAAGGCAGGCATTCTTGCATGTGCTAGTGCAAAGGGTCTGGCCCCTGCGCGGCGTAACTGCCCCGCACTCTGGCCCCTGAGCAGCGTAACTGTCCCGCACTCTGGCCCCTGCGTGGCGTAACTGTCCCGCACTCTGGCCCCTGCGTGGCATAACTGTCCCGCACTCTGGCCCCTGCGCGGCGTAACTGTCCCGCACTCTGGCCCCTGAGCGGCGTAACTGNCCCGCACTCTGGCCCCTGCGCGGCGTAACTGTCCCGCACTCTGGCCCCTGAGCGGCGTAACTGTCCCGCACTCTGGCCCCTGCGCGGCGTAACTGCCGCATACTCTGGCCCTCATTATTCTCCGCTAATGGCTGTCAATCTTTCTTCTTCGTATGACACCAGTAACCAGTGCTGTCATGTACTAATGGAAAGGGGAAGGACCAGAGTGCTTGCGTAACCAGCACGCGATCATCCAGCCCCCCTGCACCCCCCCCAATAATAGCAACCAGGTCGCCCCTGGCCTGAGGAGAGCCTCACAATGACATCCTCTTGTGTGTTTTTTTTGGATAATGTTTTTTCCAGCCAACTTATTCATACTGTGCACAAACCATAAAGTAAATCACAGCCTTGATTAGAAGAAAACATACTCATTATGACTGCAGTGTAACGTCATGCTGACCTGTTTTTCTTTTTCACTACTTCTCCGATTAGGACGGTGCTGTGTAACTTACATTTTTGTGGTGGTTCTCCAAAGCTGCATAGAGAATAGACTGAATTTGACTCTCATTTGCATCTCGTGTTGTAATAAGTTCACGTATCACCGATTAGGAGGCCTGAAAACGGTAGCTAAGCTATTAGTGCAGTACTGCTGTGCCCAGTGTTACAAGTAAGTCAATGTGAAGTTTTCTGCAGTTGCAGTGATCGTGAAGGTAATCAGAGTTAATGTTGCGTGCCGTTTTTTCTTCATGTTGTAATTGGGTGTTTGACGTTGGATCTGAATCAGGAAGACGTGACATGCAGCTTCCTAAGGAATCTGCAGAGGGCAGTAATTTGGTCTGACTGATTTCAAATGGGGTCAGGTGACTCCAAGTGACTGCCTTTGAAGGCAGAGATGTCACATTTGCACAGTATCTAGCGGTCACTTATTGAACCCACAGCCCACTTAGCTTAGCCTTTATATATAGTGTTTGTTGTTCTTGTGCAAACAATTTCTCACCTGAGTACCTTTAGCAATAATGATATAGGCATCTCACCCAAAATGATTATTTTATTCATTTATTTTTGCAGAGGAACCTACTTGAGGAAGACTCTGATGAAGAGGAGGACTTTTTCCTGTGAGTCTTGTGTGGCTTGTTCATCCATGTATCATCCGTGAGTTTGCTAACATTGGATTATTGGGCCTGATGGCTCTTGGATCCAGCTGGACACCAGTAAACTGTTTATCTAGTGTCCTTTAGCCACAGAAAGTCTCCCTTTCATGTTCCTAAGATAGGTAGGTTTTTTCTGTTCCTGCAGTAAACACCACTGGTGTAATGGACTTGGCTATATTAATATTTGCTCCATTAAAAATTGTTTTAAACATGAACGACTTTTGAAGATGAATCATTGCTCATTTGCACAGAATTATTCTTGATAAATCTGATTAAATGTATGTACTCAGGGTAATTAGAATAATTATAGTCATTATAGTGTTTAAAGAAAGTACTTTAGTTTCTTGTTTTGATATGGAATCCAGGAAAGGCTGCGTAAGAATTTTGCGTATTGGTGCACCTACGGTCAGTCAAACATCATGCTGGTGTCAGAAGCTCATGTTAAAGTCTTTTTTCTGGTTTAAAGCTGTCACTTGCAACCTCTTTAATTACAGGAGAGGGCCGACAGGACCCAAATTTGGACCAAAAAATGACAAAATTAGACAGTAAGTGCTCCCCGCCCTGTGTTCCTGCGTGTGTGAGAGCGTGTGCACACCTAGCGCCCTCCCGCTTGAGCCCTGCTTTCCCACCTGTACCCAGTATACTAAAAGAATGCTTGTCTCTGGGGGGGTCTGTAGGCATTGTTACCCTCCCCACAGCAGCTGCAGTTTGACATTTTCTCACTTCCAAACGAGCAAACTCTGCACCACAAAAATGATCTAAAAATTATCAGAAAAAATAAACAGAGGATGACAAACGCCCCGACCTCCTCCTAACCTCTCCAGCGCAGATGAATGCCGGATGATGATCTTGGACATTTGTTTCTCTTATTGTAAATATTTAATTGGCCGTAGTTACATGCCGGCTTTATACTTACATAAGTCGTATCAGTAGGATCCGAACAAAAATCTGAAAAGATGTGATGCTTGTTATTGTTGTGGAGTTACGAAAGCGTGCACGTCCAGGGGGGCACCGTGACGCGCCCTTCTTTTTCTGTGGCCAGCTGCCGGTAAAAGAGGCCAAATGCTTTTTCCAGACCTGCCTGTCAGCCCCCACCCCCTCGTCACCTGGGTTTATAGAGCAGCAGGAACAGTGTGTGTCGTTCAGGCCTGGCAGCGAGCAGCATAGTATGTCAGTGCAGTCACAAGAATTTGGAAAATAAGAATAACAACACGACATCCAATAGTATCATGCAGAAAACTGGGTGATAAAAGTAGCAGGTTGAAGCTGTGCAAGAAAAAAAAGAATGAAATAAATAAAACCCTATTCATACAGTATCTGTATATGTCAATAAATCAATTTAAAATGAAACCCTGAGGGGCTGTGTGTGTCTGTCATGGAGATCTGAACTGTGTCAGTTTGGCTGCATTGGAGAGAAGTCGTTCTGGTGATGTGAGGTGCTGGTCTTGATGGACCCGTCTACTGCCTGGTTTCTGATTAATTTTTTTTTGTCCCTCTTTCGAATCAGAGTCCAGAACCAAGTGGACGAGGTGATCGACGTCATGCAGGAGAACATCTCCAAAGTCATCGAGAGGGGTGAGCGTTTGGACGACCTGCAGGACAAGTCGGGTAAGGCCTGGCGCACGGGAATCCTCCGGGGGGAGGGAGGGGAGGCGGCAGGACAATGTCTCCTTTTTACGAGGACAAGGCGTTACTCTGGTGACACCACCGGAAGGATTAAGCCAGACATGAACTGTTATGAGGGCCTTGGTCAACTTGGCTATCTCAGGGGGCCTGATGATGTTGGTGTGGCTTGAGGAACAAAAACCGACTCTGTTCTTACACACACCCCCCCCCGACCGCCCTCTGTTTTCGGGACCACGGTTTAGATACCTTCAGAAAAGGGCCGACAGTACAAGGTGTACCAAGGACCTTTGCTGATTTATATTCTGGTCAGGCATGCAGACGGGCACCTCATAGCCCGCCCTGAGCTACTCTGGCAGGCGTGTCCGGCCTGTTCTTTTTTTATTGGCTCTTGCATAACACTGAAGTTAGCGTGTGTGTGTGTGTGCTAATGGGCAGCTTCTGGAACGCGCAGCCTGGCTCTTAGCGCTCTCCCAAGCTGGAAGGTTCCAGGCTACGCCGAGCACCACATCAAGGAGGGGCCTGGTGTTGAGCAAATCGGTTTAAAACATGCCAAACGGAGGGTGACATTCTCCGAACTACCCTCTGTGTCCCCTCTTCCCAGGTGGCAGGTCCTGCTATTTTCTCGCCTGTAGTCCAGCTGGCTTTCAGTGACACTGTATTACACAGCTTAGATAAGATGACCTCCCAGGGCCAAAACCAGGGAGACATGTCTGCTCGTTTGATGCCCCAAGTCGTCCATCCAAAGGTGGACTTGGATGGACGCCAAAGTGATGTCACCTTGTTGCGTATTTAACCCCGGCCTGACCAATCGCTGTGTCTCCATCCCTTTGTCCCCTGTCTGTTCGTGTCCCCCTGCCTACAGAGAGCCTGTCTGACAACGCCTCCGCCTTCAGCAGCCGAGCCAAACAGCTCCACCGCAGGATGTGGTGGAGAGACACCAAGGTGAAGTGCCCACACATCTCTACAGGCTTTGACCCCCTAACCTGAACCTTATCACATGGCTTTCATGCATATTGGTTCCTTTGTCTCCCCCTGCAGATGAAAGCCATCATCGCACTGGTGATCGTCGTTCTCCTGCTCATCATCATCAGTGAGTGTCCCAGTGGACCAGACACCTGCGTTACCGTGGCAGCCCAAACCCACAGTGTCATTTCAAGTCCGTCAGCTGGTATAAAGCTAACAAATGTTTCCTTTTTCCCCCCTCCCTCTCTAGTTCCTATCATCCTTCGGTACCACTAGCGTGTGGCGGAGAGGCCGGACCGCACGGGAGACTCAACGCACCCCCTCACATCCTGACATCCCAGCTCCCGTGCTCGCTCCCCCGCCACCTCTAGGGGGCACTCTCACTCTCCGCAGACGAGCGCCGCGTCTGATTCTGGGGGCAGGGTGACACTGAGCTGCTCTGAGAGAGTTTGGCTTTTTGTTACCGCTGCGTTTGTGGCGGTACTGGACAAAACACACACACACACTTGCATAAGCAGGCTGAAATGACACCTGCCTGTCACACAGAAGGCCCCCACTGACTGTGGCCGGTAGAGCTGCAGTCGATGACCCACCCCTTACAGATCCCACCACATCGACAGACCATACAGTACCCCCCTCCCCCC